GGACAGCTCATTTCAATCACTCTGACTGACTTGCTTGCTGTTCTTGTCAATGATCGTGGCATCGATTCTATTAGCTTTTACTTGAGTTGTGCCAGCGAATAATCAAATATGACGTCTCAGAAGGAGGTTGCATGCTAATTCTCATACAGCGGCTTGGTGACGTGTGACTTGTGAGAACCATGGTTCAACTTTAGTAATGAGATCTAAATATCTAAGGTCTTTAAAGAATAAGATCTTGAAAGCATTGTTATGTCTCTGTAGGTACTTTAATAGTCTGGGCCAGTGCACTACAGCCAGATAGAATGTGCTGCACATTCTCCAGGGAATCCCAGCATAGGCGGCATTTTTCATCGGTGACTTGTGATTTTGTTTTTCTATTGTAGTAAACCTTGGTAGGTAACAGTTGTTGTACTCCAGCTATGGTATTATTATTACCATTATCATCATTATTATTATTATTGTGTAAATTAATATACATATTTTTTTAAAGCTGCATAAAATTATATCTAGTGAAACTAATACAGATTTTATAGCCTTTCACTTCATATATTATTATTATTATTATTATTATTATTATTATCCTATCATTAGCAATAATTTTTATTATTATTGTTTATGTTTTCTGGTTTGGTCGTCGCGTCGTTGTGTTGTTGTTTTTTTCAAAAACTTCTCGCTGTGCATCATGGTTTTTTTTTCCACAGTTTTATTGGGTACTCCTCTTGTAATATACAATATAAATTTATAATACAACACAAAAAAAAAAAAAGAAAAGAAAAAAGAACTGACGTCCCATGCGAGGCACCACCCCTAGATTAAGACCTAGGTTAAAATAAAATGAAATGAATACTCATACATTCGTACAAAAAATAAAATAAATTACGAGTGGCATGGGCACGTAGGGACTGGTGTCCACGTGCAGGGGTAATTGATTTTATATACCCGCGAAAGGCGAGTGCTCATTATTTTGCGAACAAAAAGTTGAAAGGCAGTAGGCGAGGAAAAACTGGTTGGGGGTGCCAGCTTACAAACATAGTTCCATAGTTTAACTATACGGTTAAAGTACGAGGCCTGAAAGAAGGTTAAAGGAGTTACTAGTCCTGTACGATCATGGGAAACAAAGATACATAATTCCGAACATCTAAATCGGTACTACAGTAAAGGCATTTATAAAAAAAGATCAAATCTTTAAGTTCACGATCTAGAGGAAGTGGAAGTAAGTCTAGCAAAGTCAACCGCTCTTTGTACGACGACTCGTCTCTGCGCGTGCGTAAAATCCACCCGCTTGCATGTCTTTGCAGCTGTTCCACCTCAGCATTCAGAGTAACGTAAGCGCGTGACCAGACTTTGGTGGCGTAACACAGCTGTGACTTGACCAAAGACAAATAAGGTGAGCGATTAACAGAGACGCCAGTACTAGGACACAAGTCCGTTTAAGCAAACCAAGAAGCTCGGTTTGCTTTGGCAGTGATAGTGTGGATGTGTGAGTCCCAAGAGAGCGTACTACTATTTATGATGACGCCAAGATCTTTTTCTTCTGAAACGCGTACCAGGGCTTTGCCATCAAGGGTGCAGTCAAAAGCAATCGGAGTCTTTTTCCTGGTCACAGTTAGTACTTTACATTTGGACGTATTAAAAGTAATATTATTGCGCTGCGACCAGACGTGCATATTAGAGAAAGTGGCTTGTATGAGGTCACACTGTTCTGCAGACGAAACATTTCGGTATAGCTTGGTATTGTCGGCGTAGAGTGCAACCTTCACGCCGTAAGCAGCTTCGTCCGGCAGTTTTTTTATGAACAAAGTGAACAACAGGGGGCCTAAAATGCTCCCCTGCGGAACGCCAGAGGTTACAGGAGACCAATGAGAAGCCGCATTCTCAACCCGGAGGGGGGGGCACTTGGGTATTTTTTGGGTGGGTATGTGCCGCGCGGGACTCCAAATTGGCACCCCGTTCTAAAAAAAAATTCCCCTAAAATTGATACCGCGTTCTAGAAATGGGCTAATTTTTTATACCCCGTTCTAGAATTCGCCCTAAAACTGATACCGCGTTCTAGAGATGGGCCAATTTTTTATTCTTCGTTCTAGGGTGCAACAAGAGTACAACAGTTTGCTTGTTAACGCATTGAAACGTATTTTTAAAAGCAATCTGTCTTCGAATAATTTCAAATAGCTGCTTACAAAACTGGAGCTTTCGTGCGTTCGAAATATTATACCCCGTTCTAAATCAGGAGCTTCAAAATCACGACCCCGTTAGGCGGCACATACCCGTATAGGTAATGTATGGGAGTACCCCCCCCCGGGATTCTTAAGAACCACCCTTAGTGTACGCTCAGTTAGGTAGTCCTTGAGCCAGCAGAACAGTTGAGCTTATACACCGTAAAGCCTCAGCTAAGCCAGAAGAGCGCTGTGATCGACAGTGTCAAAGGCCTTAGCAAAGTCCAGGTAAATTATATCTGACCAAGAGCCATAATCCTATTATGGCTTTTGATCTGACTGAACGTTATTATCCAAGGACTGACCGACTGTGTGTAGGACTGACAAAATCTGAGTTACCCCACCGGCTCGCTGCCTTTGTTCTGACAGAGCGGAGGTGCATTCTGGGATACGAGGAGGAAAAAGTGCTTGACGAAGCATGGGTTTTATCTGTGTCAAGAAAATACAAACTTTTTCGCGTACAAATATAGTTCAGTAAAACATGTAAGCCAGAACAACAGCACTGATTGTAGAAGGTTAGCAATAATGTCATATCTCTGGGATCTAGACGAGTTTGAACAGGTAAGTAGTTTTCATGATCGGAAGGGAACGGGAAGAATGATTTGGTCTTATAACGACCTTGGTGTCCCGACGTACATATATAATCGAACATTCGGTATTGGAAATCAATCGAATTCATTCGAATTTCATCAAACGATTGAAAACGATCGAACACAATTGAATTCAGAAAAAAATTGGCCAATCGAACGCAGATGAACGTTCGGTTTCCGAAGGAATGTTACTAAAATGCCGGAATCGGAGACCGGGGAACGAAAAATAAAAAATAGGAACAAAGCCGAGAATTAAAAATGAAGTTACAAACGGGGCTAGGGTTCAAGTTAGGTTTTGTTACCGTTTAAACTGCAATTCATTTCTCGTTTCCCACTCTCTGCTCAGCCACACACGCCTCCACACATTTGTAGATGTGAAAAGTTATATTTAGTTGAACTGCAGTTTTGCTTGTGAGGTATGGCTTTTTTGTTTGAAAATATGCACTGAAAAAGCACATGTGTGATTTAAGCTTATTAACACATAATAATGACATGAAACCAGCTAGGTGGAATTAAAGGTTAATGGCAGGTTCATTTGATATGGGTGTGTTCACTACCAAAAAAAAAAGAGTAGAATAATTTGCTGTTCTTTTGAAAAGAACCCTTGAAATTGATGGCTTTGTATTCATTACACCTATCAGTCTTTCTCAGACAAGATCGAGGCTATGATGTAAGTTTAGTCAACAATTTGTTCAGTTATCAAACAACTGTGGTTGGTTCAGTTGGGGTATGTTTGATTTGTTTGATAATCAAGCTCACAACGAATTCCGTGTTCAAGTAATATATCAAACATGAGACGCAGTGTTTCATCACCAGATGAAACACCGAGAAGAGAGTTGAAAATACGACGCGCAGCGGAGTATTTTTGACGAACTTCGGGGTGTTTCATCTGGTGATGAAACACTGTGTCGAATGTTTGATATTTCTTCTCAAACAAAATCATTTTTGAAGGAGAAATTAAGGATGCAAATACTGAGCAGTTTTTCATCCGATTTCCAAACACTCACTAAACATTAATTTTCTTTGTATTTATTAATGAGTTTGAGAATTTTATTTGATTGCTGGCGAAGTCAATGAAATTCCATCAAACAATTAACCCCTTCACTGCCAGAGTGCTTGACGGAGTTTTGTAAGGTGACTCTAACTTTTGAGTCTATGGACGAAATCCTATGATGTGACCATTCAAATGAAAGCTCTCTGCCTGTACTTCCACATGATGCTATTTGTTTGTCAAAATTTTTGAAAACGAAATTTGGAAATTTGGTTGAAATTTGCATTTGGCCACATTTGGCAGTGAAAGGGTCAAGTTTGATTGAATTTGACTGAAATTTTGTTCAGTTTTCTTCGATTGGATACATTGGATAGTACATTGATCATGACGTTTCTACTGCTTAGGGTTGGGGTTAGAGGTCAAAATCTGTCAGAGGTCAAAATTAAATTCAGGACAATTTTTTTTACCTTGGTAGATTCTCAATTTTATAAAGAATTGGCTCACATTCTTAAACTTCAACTTGTTTATTCAGAACATAGTGAACTCACAAGCGGCCATGACAGTAAACTGTGACCAAAGCTAGCCTGAGTACGCACATGTAAATGCTAAAATCTGATTGGACTCTAACACAATGCAATATCGTCACACCCGTCCTCATTTTAAAAAAAAGGTGTACAAACTACAGTGTAGATACAACATAACAGAAATGAACATTAGCTAAGCACCAAAAAATAATGTCACTGATCGTCTCAAATTTTATCCGTTTTCTGCTACAGCCAACTCCTGGTAACTCGAACCCTCTACAACTTGAATCTCCTGCTAACTTGAAGCAATTTTCATTTCCCTTCAGATCGTTTTCTATATAATTTTACCCTCGATAACTCAAATGTCCGATAACTCATACTTTTTTCTATTTCCCTTGAAGGTTTGAATTATCGGGAGTCGACTGTAGTAATTAAGGGCTAGGAGATGGAGGAAAAATCTTCGGGGTTAAAAAATTTCAAGCTGAATTTAATTTGATTAACAACATATGTCCTGAGGAATTGTGTCTATCATGTCTAATTAATTATTTTTGGCATGCTTTCTGCTCCATCCACTCAGAAAATCATCTTATCATCCACGTAACCTTCAGAAATTCCATGTCTTCACATACCGCCGGAGAAAAGCTTTTCAACTGGGCAAGAAGTGTAGATATTTTAATTGGAAATGGCCCCCAGGCTTTATCTCAATGAAGGTAGAGATAAAAAGTTGGTATGTTGTCTTAACAGCCATCAACATCTAAAAATTTTGACAGCGTTTATGGATGAAACAAGTTTCAAATTTCAACAATCCCTTTGCCTTGATGATCATAGGCAATCTAACTTTCAGACAAAAAATAGTTGACCTTAAATTCTTCATACATTCCATTCTCAGTATTTATTATGCAATCAGTGGCTGCTACATTACGTGTAACTCACAGTAAATGTGTACCCATCGAGTACAAAATAAATAACCTCAAATTATGTTAATTTTGCTTTCTCTGTTATTATTTGTTTTCATCTTCTCATCCCCACTCCTCATGAAAACCCTGTGTGAAGATATTTGTAGTTATTATTATCATTATTAATTATTATTATTACAGTGTATTAATATTATTATTATTTTTTTAATTATCACTTGTGTTCATACATTTTAGAAAACCATTGAATTTGGGTGTGAGGCTTTTAATTATTAGTCAGATCAGTAGATCGGAGGTAGGCAGTGGAATTGAAAAGAGTAATGGTGGCTGATGATATATATTTTTCTTGCTTTATCAATTGATGTTTGAAGTTCTAAATTCACACCCACTGGCCCGTATCAAGCTCAGTAGTTGTGGTAATTACGTTCTTAAACATTGCAACAAAACAGTAACTGTCAGTGGGTTTTTTTAAGTGTTGTATGTGTGTGACTCTCTTTTGCAGGACGTATTTAGAACATTTGATGGCAACTACCTGGTAGATAACATTTTGGCCCAGCACAATGGAACTTATTCCTCAACTAATAAATTAAAATGTACCATCCTTGCTCCTCGTTATTATTTTTCGAATGGTGCATGTTTCATTAGAGAGCTAGCAAAACAACTGGCCAAATTTAAACAAGTACAAGTCAGCGTGTTGGTTCCAGAAGATACTTTTTACAATGAGTACGAGGAGAGAAAAGCCAAAGAGATCGGAGTTACCATTGTTAAAGCCAAGAAACAACCGGGTTTTTTTGACTCCATTGAGTGGCTGAACTACCCACCAGCAGACCTCAAAACAGACATTGTTATTGGAGTTGGTGAGCAACTGGGTAAGGTTGCACAGAACTGGAAGATGCAGTATCAGTGCAAAAGCATTCAATTTGCCTGTGGAAATGATTGGGAAAGGGTGTATTATGACACTGGTAATGGCTATTTGGAGGGCGCAACTGTTAGGCATATTAAACGTTTCAGGGGGCTCTCCCTGTCTGCTGATATTCCTGTTGCAGTTGGACCAAAGACAGCGGATAAACTGACTGCCTCCCTCCGTTCGAAAGGGAAACAAGTGTTTAGCTTCACTCCTGGAATAATCAGCCAATTTAGTAGCTTGACCCACGCCACTAAGGATGGAACAAATTTCCGTGTTTTGTTTGTTGGTGGGAGTAATCCTGACAATTTTCAGGAAGATGGGCTTGAACTTGCTGCCAAAACAATGGCTGAGTTAAATGATAAATCCTATCACCTAATTTGTGTTGGTGCAGGGAAAGAAACACAGCAGCAATGTGCCAATTTCTTTCATCAGTCTGGTGTTCCTAAAAGGCAGTTTGAGATGAGAAACCTTCCGCAAACTGATGAAGAGTGGAAAGATCTTTTTGGTGAGGTGATCTCGCCATCATGCCATCAGGTGATGAGGAGTTTGGTTGGGACGCACTTCTTGCCTTATCTGCTGGGCTTCCTGTGCTCGTCCACGAGGAGTCAGGATTTGGAAAGGCTCTCAAGGTTGTCGAATTTGGCCAAGCTGCCATTGTGGATTCTGATGATCCCAAAGAGTGGGCTTCAAGAATCAAGAAAGTCAAAGAAACAGACAGGAAGACCAGGCTTGAGCAAGCTGCATTGTTGCGTTCTAAGTACGATGAGAAGTACAGCTGGGCAAAACAGTGTGGAGCTCTGGTTGCAATGATGTGTATGATGGCCTCTGGTACGGAGTTCTATTTCATATTTTATTTTGCTTTTAAAGTATTAATATTGAACATCTCTAATTGACTGTATGAGTACTATATTGCAGATTCATTAGCATGATATTGCACTTATTAATTTTTAAAAAATTATCAAGCTGTAAAAGATCCAATAAATTTTGAAAACATTTAGCCCGAAAAGTAAACCCCTTTTACCCCTTTACAGTGTATTCCAAAAGGAAGGATTCATACACAGAGATGCTTACCTCTGGAGATACAAAATCTGGAGACTCTCTCTTTTTCACCAAGCCCCCCAGCCCGTATTTCAATGGACTGAAAAATTGACCCAGCCTCCAATGGGAATGGCTTAGGACATTATATGAAGTCTTACTGTATGTATTCAAATAAGCGCCCAACCTCGAATTAGCGCCCACCTCAAATAAGCACCCATCCTAAAGGCAGAAAAAGATAATAAGCGCCCAGCCTCGAATAAGCACCCACCCCCTTTTTTCCCCCAATCAAACTCAAATTAGCACTCACCCCCACCCCACCCAATTAAGTGAATAAGTTCCAATAAGAGACTTCCTTGAGGGCGGAGTTTTCTTCAGAGTATTTTACAGAAACCTTGCTTTGTTACTTCTTCGCGTTTTGTTAGTATAGCATTTATTATTTTGTTGCAAAATAAACATACTTAACTTGCTGAAAATGGTGAAAATTTAATAAGCTCCCAGCCTCGAATAAGCGCCCACTCTCAAGGTCCAAAAATTTAATAAGCGCCCAGGGCGGTTAATCGAATAAATACGGTAAATGGAGTACATACTATCAAAGTTTGTGATCATCATTTTGATTCTGAAATAATCTTTGTCACTGACTAAATACGTGCAAAAATTCGCCAGAAACGGTACCCAATTTTGAGGGAGAAATGGGCTAAATCCCAAACTAAAGCACAGAAAAGCTAAAAAGGCCATTTTATCCGGGAGATTTGGTGAAATGTACGGGAGAGCGGGAGATCAGTGCCGTATCCGGGAGAGTTGGCATGTGCCCATACACACCTTGAAAGTTTGTGAAAATTTGAAAATGGATATCCTAGACTTTGAAAGTCCTTGTGATATGTTAAATTGCTGTTTAGACTGAGGAAGTCATTACTATACAGACAATTAAAGAGTGCAAATACTAATCCGAAGAAGCCCTTTCACCTGAACATCTACATAACTGTTGCTGTTACTTAGTTAATTGGCTTGTGGATGGTTTGACTACATTAAACTATGTGAACCACAAGACTCTCAAAATAGTTTGAAAAGGCAGCACTTTAGTTTTCAACTGACAAGATTTTCTCTTGGTACATGCAGTACATGTATTTCCTTCTTGGTTGCTTAAGCCAATAATCCATGAACCAAACAAGCTATTCTTCACGACTAATGCATTTACTTTACTAATCTTGCCTGGTCATTAGAGAGTATAAAACTTGTTGATGTCACTTATTCACACCATCCATTCATGTATAAATTCATAACAATAAATGCAATACGTGTAATGGCTGGAAATTTGTGTACTTGCCAAAACCCTTTTACTGAATATGTATGCAGTATTTTTCGTTATAGTGTTGGGTATATAATAAAATGTCTATTAACATATTAATTCAATTAACTCACATGTATTCAAGTAACTCAGGTCAGTCTACCTCTGTATGTTAGTTAATTAAATACCATTGTTTATTTTTGCAGCTCAAGACAACTGAGAGGGTATAATTTTAAGTCAATGGTCCAAACAAAACCTCTCGATTTCTCTTAGAGAGATGGACGCACGTTTTTGTCATGGTAAAAGACAATAGACAGTGGAAAACACTACGTCGAATAATTATTTATCCACTGGGTGACGTGTTAACACTCAGTACATAACTTGTACATTTACTCCCATGTAGAAAAGGTGTGAAATAGGATATAGTTTAACAGGTACACCTTTTTATGTCGCACTTAAATGTTTGTGGGACAGTCTTTCATAGTCAACCAGTTTGATCACGTAGAAGCAGATTATTTTGGATATTTTGTCCATAATGAAGTCAATGGCAAGAACCATTGTTGCATTTGGTTTAAATCTGCTCTCAGACTTGGTTGAATCTTTTATTTTAATACTTGCGCTCTTTTAACATAGCATGTAAAATACAGTTTTAAGAGCTTTATTGGTTGACTCATTTTTTATTGACTGACTGCCCTGTAGTGGGTGAGTGCCCCGTGGGGGCTACTCCTGAAAAATTTGTGTGGGGGTGGGCAGGATGCCTCCTGAAACCCCGACCCTATATAAGACCAAAATAGGATCCCCCCCACCCCATTTTAGACCATAATAGACGAATGATAAAAAAAAATGCCCATAAACGGTTAAATCTATGCTCAGTTTCTTCAGGCCAAAAAATATATCCTTTGGCACCAAGGCAGTACCCCCTACCACTCCCCAAGCGGGGGAGGGGAGGGGGAAGGTGGGCAGGTTGATTAACCAACAATATTTACTTCATGAGATCACTTGATGCGGACTGCTTTAATATCTTTGGTTGCAGGCTATGCGTGCACGTGCTTTTGCCGGGGCGTTGTTTGGGCACAGGGGCTTCAGTTGTTGCCCAGAGAGTTGGACGTAATTGATCAGAAAGAATGAGGAGAATACAAACAGTGGAAAGAGCCCTAATTTGCAAACAACATTGCATTTCGAACCTTAATTTAGTAAATTGTTGATTGTTCAAAGACTTAGAGACATATGAAAGATACCAAAAAAAAAGAGAGGGAGACATTGCAGTCTTAAGTTTAGTCAGTTTAGTGACCGCATTAGTCCCCCTTCTCTTCTAGATCGATAGCAGCGGGGTTGTAACACGAGCTCCATAAATGATTCCCGCTTTCGGACGAATTTAAAGGGGTATTAAAGCACCCCAGTACACAAACGGTGCGCGCAACGACGTTATTTCTCTATTCTCCTTTTTTCCTTCCCTTTCGAATAAACGCCAGCCACGTAGCCTGCGAAGCGCAGACGTATTTCCGGTCGTCGCTTCTCTCCCTCCGAAAATTAACTAATTTATTTTTCGGAGGGAGAGAAGCGACTACCGGAAATACGTCTGCGCTTCGCAGGCTACCTGCCACGCAGCTTAGAGTTGCCTATTCCCTAGGCCCCCCCTCCTTGATATGACACAGGAAGGGGTGTCTCTCAGGAAGGGTGATACCCTTCGCTGTGTTCAATCGTCCTTTGTTTGTTTGTTTGTTTGTTTTGTTCAACCAACCAGTGAAACCCTTAACTCTCTTCCACATAAGCCCAAACATTTCCTTGATTTAAAACGTCCTAAGGCGAACGTAACTGAAAAATTTAACTCTCCATATTTCTCGAACGCGGTAGAAGAGTTTGTTCATTATAACTAGCTTTCATAAGCAAGATAGCAAATTCTTACAAGACAGTAAGACTGGAAAGATTTGCGTCGGCCCTTGCTCCCCAAAGCCCGCCTGCCTCTAATAACGCCTGTTGTGCATTAAGGCCTGACATGCCTTCGCTTCAAGTTCTTTCCCGTTTAACGCGAAAATACCAAAAAAGAATCAGCTCGGCTATTCTTTAATTGATAGGTCAATAAAATTCGTGTTGGAGCATTACATTCATTTACGCAACGTATGGCTTTAACTTTCGTTCTTGATTAGGGTGACTTTTCGATTAATTTAGTTTTCTGGGAAACTGCCCACCTACCCCTCCCCTAAGCCATCATTTCCCCCTAAGAGACATGCAAGTGTTAATGTTAGCTTAGGGGAGGGGTAGGTGGGCAGTTTCCCAAGGAACCAAAATTGATCTGACTTTTCTATCTCTTGCACAACCTTTTCTTTTGAGATCAAAACAGCTGGCATCATTTCAATTTTAAAAAAAAAGTTATCACGTCGGCTTAAAACCACTAAAATTATTTTGATGCAATGTATAGTGCGTTTTTATTCATATAACTAGCAGGAGTTAAGATATCGCCACAGGACTGGTTTGGTGCACTAATCTGGTCGCCGTTGGCATTATTTTCGTGACATCCGGTGAAAAAAGCTTTAGAAAGCATAGCAGCGCTAACTAATGGCGCTTACCGTCAACTAATCTACTTGTCTGCTACACAGCCGTTTTTGATATCGTCACGCAGACTACTAATCTACTGACTCTTTACTGGCTATTTACATAGATTGGAACCCAGGACAACTGTGTTAGAAGATTCACGCGGTCAGAGAAAGGGCTTGATGAACTCCGCAACCCCCACAACGGAAGATTAAACACGTGATTACATGCATTTCAAGGCTACGTCCTCAAGAGCCTAAAATTAAGTAGTCGTAAGAAGACAAGTAATAAGTAATATAAGAATCAAACTGTCATTTTGTGTATTAAAATTGATACGCACGGATGCACGGGCAGTTTTTGTCATTGGCAAAGACTATCCAATGAATCATAACGACCCTGGCAAAGACCTTAACCGATCATTGAAGTTTATTGAAAAAGAAGGCGCATTCTTTCAAGCAGGATCTTACATTGCGTCTCCCACTTGAACTTTTCGTCATAAAACTCTCGCAGAGAGAGCGCTTCGTTGAGCCGAATTTGCCTTTCTTTCTGTCTCGCACGTCTAATAGCTTTACCCCACTCCTCAGCTTCATCGGAGTCTACTACGAACGACGAACCAAAAGTTAAAGTCTGCAGAGCTTTTCCAAATCCAGAATTATCACCCACCAAAATGGGGAGGCCAGCGGAAAGAGCTTCGAGTGCTGCGAGGCCAAAACCTTCTGTTCGTGACGGCATAATGGCTAAATCCGCCTCACAGAAGAGATTTTCCAATTCACCACGACTCTCAATAAAGCCTCGCACGATAAGTTGGTTGCGAGAAATGCAGCACTTCAGCAAGTTATTTTTGACCTCTTCTTCTTTTCCTTTTGGCGCTCCGACAAATATTAGTAGGTAGCTTTTATCATTCAAGCCTGCTACAGCTTGGGCGGCTATATCGTATCCCTTTAGTTCAAAGTCTTCCGAGTCACCCCGACCAAACACTAAGATGCGGAACTTTCCTCCCTCCTCACTGGCTTGCTCCATCTTTGTGAACTCCGGAAAGATTCCAGGTGTGATATCTATCACCTGTTGATCCTTACGGTACGGCCGCAGGGGGGCGGAGATGGCTTCCGCTAGCTTCGGTCCAATAGCCGCGACGATTTCAGCCTTCTTACACAGTTCTAATTCAGCTTGGTGTTTTTCCTCGCCTTTCGGTAGCGCTGTTTCGCCTTCCTTAAACATTGCAAGCTCTTCACTGGCAGTGTGTACTATATGAACTCGTTTGCACCTGCGCTGTTTTGCTATCGCCTGAGCTGGTGCTCCGAGCTTCTGACCATGGCCTACAACAACATCAATATCATGATCTTCTCTAGTAAAGCTTAATCCCCTGATGGAATCAAACCCAGGCATTGGCTCTGGTGTGGCAAGGCTTATTCTACAGTCATTAGCTTCTTGCTTCTCTCTTTCACTGTAATATGGCACCAGAAGGGTAACCTCTACCCCAGGCTGACGTGCCAAGTGCTTTGCTAGTTCTCTGTTCAGCGTAGATAATCCTCCTTTTGATGATCCCCATTCACTTCCGACTAGCGTTACTCTTAAAGGGTCTCTTGCGAAAGAGGTTGATGATCCCTCAGATCTGGCATCCTTAAGAAGGAGAGAGAAAGAATTAATTTAAAAAAATTCATCAGTACGGGATTCCGGATTCTCCCGAAGGCGGGAAATTTTTTTCCTGTGGCATCCGGACTCCGGAAAACTTTGATGGGGAATCCGGATTACCCTAAAAAAATCCGGAATCTCCCTAACGGTTGGAATCCGGATCATCCAAGTACCACTGACAAAGACTGGAATCCAGTACCGAAATCCACGGCTTGGAATCCCGAATCCAAGACTGTCGTAGATTTCCTTAAATGGGGCACATAGAAGGCAATGGTTCGATTAAACGCATAGCTCAGGGTAAAGTCCAATTGAAATTAAACCAGTGGCCAAATGAATACACTAACATACAAAATATAGTCGGCTATGTCGTGAAAAAAAAAACACTACAATTTTTTTAAGAATAATATTTTTGTCTATTTAAACCGGGGGACTCAACTTTAAAGTTGAATAACTTCAAAACCGTAGAAACTATGACCGCAAAACTTGGCGACTCACCCCTTTTAGTGGTATTGATGGACTGAAGTTACTAAAGGTGTTTACACTCTTTTAGATTAATATAGAAATGACATCAAATTGTTCAGGTAAAATTAGGTTAAACTGTAATTTTCTTTGTCTCCTATAAATAATTAGAGCTGATTTTCGAGTTCCCCCGGGGTTAAGTGGTTAGCCTTTAATATGGGAAATGATTTTTTATTCTCACGCAAATAAAACTATAGTCATAAGACAGGTTGTGCCCTTAGCCTCATTTTGAAAGTGAGGGTTTTTGGAACTCGGAAGTCATTGACCTATTTATCAGGGAGCATTTGACGTAGTGCATTTATCATTGTCGTGACCATGACAACTGAGTTTTGACAGCCTAGTATTTGGCAATGTTTTCTCCAAAAGATATGTCGTCGTCATGACGTCACTTTACGTCATGTGACAATCAATTTGAGCAGTCAGTTTAACTGAGTTATATAGACCCAAGGTAGCGCGAAAAAAAAAAAAATCTGGTTCTTGGTTTACCTCAGCTTCCTTCCGCATAGTGCCTCGGACATTCACTAACTTGATTATGATATTATCTAAATTGAGAAAAAATGGAAAAAAGTTAATAAAATACAATAAAATAAAAACGTGGATGATAACAAGTTCTCATTCGTGTACCTGATTTTGGGCTAAGACAACGCGCAGAAAAGATAATTAAATTTGATCAAAAGTGTTTAACATACATTCTACAATATGAGTGGTCTGTCTTTTGCTGACAGTACACTGCTATTTTAATTTGAAACATTTATCGTGATTTAAACTATATATTTTATTATAAATGGGAAAGGAAGTATAATATATATGTCTAGAAGATCTGGATATAAGCAAGCTTAACTTTATCAAAAGATGAAGCTTTCTTCAGCGCCGGATGAAGGTTAGTTTTTTTTTCTTATTTTACCTCATCGAAATACTGGGCAGTAAAATATCCGTTCATAGCTGTCCGATCTTTCTTGCACTTTATAGTCCAAAACATCAACATTTTTCCAGTCATTACAGTCACACACTATCGAAAATAACCACGTTTCATAGGCGACCGCGACTTTTTTAGGGGGGGCGGTTAATTTTACTCTGCTTTTAACCTTTTTGTAAGCAGCCACTTGACATACGCATGATTTGATCTCTATGTTCTCTTTGTGTACTACACTACTCAGAGTATGAAGAGCTTATAACAACATATATGAAATGAATTCTCTTTCTAAAAGAAGACGTTCGAACCTCTGCATGGGAAGAAGTCCTTGTGGTTCGATCTCGTACGCTGGAGGGTCGATGATAGTTTCTTGATGACCTCTAATTGTTCTGATCTTCTACCAGGGCTCACAACAATGTTTTCGTTTTACAAAATATTATAACATAGCAAGGACCAGAGAGGGGTTCCAAGACAGCGTCACAGATAGTGTCGGTTTCCTAAATTTTTTTCAGGGTCTGGAATTAGTTTTTTAAATGTTCTTCGCCAAGAGAGGATTATCCTCTTCTGATCTTAACACATATCTTGTTTTCGTTGACATAAGTCAGCGATAAATCCATGCTAATTTTCTCTACTTATTGTAATATTTTCCGGACATACGAAAAGGCAAAAATGAGGCATGTGACCATCATTTCCTTCCAATACTGCGCATGCCTTTTGTCGGATTCTCCCTGATCTCAACACGAGGCTGAATGTTTCTACTCACAATTAAAACTTGAGGAGTCCTTTTGTGAAATCGGATATAATAAAATAAAAATTGCATAGTCATCTTGACCTCCGCTTGCTCTGAGTGACTGTAGTAAATTAAAAAAAAGACAGGGGCACCCAATGGATCTGTTCCTCAAAATATCTGTTCTTCATGCAAATTTTTGCTGGCTGGGAGATGAGGAAGAAATAATAGTCCTTGGAAGGAAAGTGTTGCTGGGAAAAAGATAATTCAGGGTGTCAGAGGGGATTTGAAGTCTAGAATAGCTGCTACGGGTTACTTGTATGGGTTGCTTACCACTCAAGATCTGAATTGTGCCCTATGAAACTTCCCAGTAAGTCAGGTTGCAGGTTGTAAGGTTGCTGGCTGGGAACTCTTCCATCAGTCTTGCTGGGAGTGAGGAACAGATAATTTTTTTCCAGCAATCTCTCAAAATTCTTAAAATAGTCTCAGAAAACTTTATTCACGCTTTGTTGTTGTTTTATAGGTCTCGTGTGTGGTTCGCGATGTATTCAGACTGAGACTGAGCTCTTAGAAATAAAAAAGAAACAAATTTTACACAGTTGACCAGACAACTAGCAAATTCTAAGTTGAAGAAGTGAGAAACGCACTCTTGTAAAATTTATACCTGCTACTTTCTAAGAGTTAGATCAGAATCCGTCTACTTGATTCAAACTCAATTTTGATCGATCAAATCCTTACGTTGTTCCCAATTAAACAACGAAATATTTTATTATCTAATTAACCATGACTTTCGAAAAATTTCGTCTTAAAGCGGGTATTCTCAAAACCAGCATTGTGATTTTCGGCATAGAAAATACCCTTAATTTTAAGAGACTATTTTCCCTGCCAGAAGAAGCCTCTTTTCCCCGGAAAAAAAATACTATTCTCTTGACACAGATGATCAGATCATAACCCGGCAGTTCCATGAAATGCTGACCGGAGACGTCACGGAACCAAGAAAGATTTGTTGATCCAAACAATGCGGTTTGGAGTTCACTTAAAAGTTCATCACTCATTTTAATACTTTGCATCAGAACCCTTTCTTTGTCTTTCGATTCTGTTTTTCTAATCATAAGTATGATACGTATAATGTCGCTCTCGCTGTCATATCTCCCTGTTTATCCTCTTCAGTTATTCGCGGGGATGAAAAACTGTAAGTAGAATTCAGTTTCAAATGATAGAGGAGAAAGAAGACGAAGCTTAGTTAAAATGGAATTTCACGATCTATGTACCTCGTCGCCTCTTTATTTTTTCCAATAAATGTTGAACGTATCCGCGCGTGGACCGAGGTGGAGCTATTAACCAGCGAAGAATACTTTAGTTCTGACAGTAAAGTTCATCAAACAGTTCAGCTCCTGAGTCGCAACAAAACTTGAATTGGATGGCACCTATTATTATCAGCCTATTTTACTTGGACCTAAATATATTACCATGCATATATATAACGGCCACTGCAAGACATGATTCCCGGGGCATGATTCAATATACAAGTTCCTATCCTAAAGTAAAATATGGCCTCGGTAGATGTCGGGTTCTTTGCTCTCAGGAGATTATGAACTGTCACTAAGTTTGATTGCCTTGGAGTATTAAAGCCCTTTCAAACGCCGGGCCGTGATGCCGTTACGTTAATACCTCTGTCTGTTAACCCTTCTTTGATTATAACAAGAGTGGGCTAGTTCCTGTGGAAATAACCACCTCTAATACGTTCAAGCACTTGTAATAATATTAAAACGTATAACTGTACACGAAATCAATTCAGTAATAAAATTCGTAGGCAGTCGTTAACCCTAGCGGTGGGCTGAATGACGTGGGAAACTACACTATAAAACTAAGGGGTACGAGGTAAAGGGAGCCACAAGTTGTTCTAGGGGCCTTATATCTGCCAATCGATAGTCATCTACTACTGAGCCATCCACACAACGAAACTTATGGTCCAACTTAAATTATCAGTATTAGCAATACAGTCTACAAGCATAATACGTATTGGGCTTGCTGACCTAGAATTGCATGAGTTCTCTATTATAAACACTAGTGTAAACAGTATCAGCAAAGAACGTGAAATCTAAGTGCACTTACTACTACAATTATCCTCTTATGTAGTACCGGGCTTTATCCAGATACGTAGCAGATTTCCGTTTTAACGACGAACAATTATTCTGAAGCTAGCATGACAATTTACGACTTGACAAGACTGAGGGGTCAATCGTTATCGCAAAACAAGAAGTTTCTTACGTACGTTAATTGTTCTCAATGCGTGTCGGCCTTCCACGTAAGGCTGCTGCTACAAGGAGGACCATCGGAAACTAGAAGGTTGAGGGTTTGCAATATATCAACAGCGTTTAAGGATGTTTTCCAATAACAGGAGCCTGTCAATACCCGGCTTACATTATGCTAAATCATTAAAGGCTGGTATATTTCCTCGTGCGCAGTCCCCCGCCTGTTAAGAGGGACGGGATGCTCTGGGGATGAGTATGCTTTCAAGCTAATCGTGCGAAGGGGAGCTTCGTTTCGTCGGCTGCAGGGGGCATGAAAAGCCTCTGGCACCCAGGGTACCCCAGCGGGCGAAGAGTGAGGAGAAACGGATGTTTTTGCTGGCTACCCCTGACATTCTTCTTAGCCACAGATATAAAAACCCTCTCCAGTACCAAAAGAATTTAGTATACAAACTTAAACACACCCAGCTTTGATTCCCCTAGGCATACTTTTAGTAGGAGAAGCACTGCTAAAGAAGGTGCAAAGAAGATGCTTAACCTTTATCAACATAGACAATGCACTGACTCCTCTATTATGATCTACCTTTTGTAAAATTGAAAGGCAAACTCTAAAGCAAGATTAGCGCTGGGGATGGTAGCTTGAATTTCAGCTGCGTACTCGATCCCCTCGCCAAGGACCGCTAAGCCGCGGACTGTGATAGGATTTATGGCTGGAGTGGTGCAGGAGGTAACTGGAAATGTATGAATTTTTTTCGTTAGCTTCAGTTGCTTTTCCCTTGCATGAATATTTTTTTTTGTACCTCCCCCGCCCCCACCCCTTATAACTTTTCTACGATCTTCTTCTGTGCCAGGCTCAGTCCTGAAAGACGGATCAGCGCTAATCCATGAATAAAATTTTATTCCGTTTTTGTATTTTACCCTTCTGTGTATTGCTCGGAGTCACATTTGGTGTCGAAGGCTCAACAGTATTTTTTCGAATGTTTAGTTAACGTAAAAAGACCACTACAATAACTGTGCCGGAACAATCTTGCTCAACGTCGGATCCTGAAAAAGATCGTGATCAGTCGAAATAGATAAAATTGAAAACGTTACAGTCAAGTAGACTTTTGCAGGGACTGATCAAACAACGTGAAATAGAGTTAAGTTGCGATATTTCGACTGGCCAATACCAGTCTTCATCAGGTTTATTGAAATATCAAGAATTTACAGAAATATATGAGAAGTAAAATAATGACCGGAAGTTACACAATATGACGTGGTATGGTGTGGCTACTTGAAAATATAAGATATGCTATATATAGTATTTTTTCTGGCATCGGATCCTGGTTTTGTTAGCTCGAGTTGCATGTTCTTAGACGAGAGAACCTTGCTTCAAATTGGGCTTAAACCATCTTTCGAGGAACCGGGCCCATTCAGCCTCTTCCCTGTTAGGTGCCGCATTAGGGGGAGGGGTGGGGGGAGCTTGTTTAAGCATGAAGCCAACCTCGTTCCTAGAGTCCTCAGAGGACACTGGGAACGAGGTTAGCGCGAAGCGGCATTATGGGAAGGGGAAGAATCGTTTTGCGTAGCATCTTCAGTTACACCCTCGTGTATATTTGGTTTATAATTTTGGCGTAGAAATCGAAATGTGAACGTAAAGACATATCGATCACTGATCCTCGAAGATGAATGGGACGGCAGATATGGCGAATTTCTTATCGGGAATGTCTGATGCACGACAGAGTGAGTCTAAGCTTGAAGAACTTCACTATTTATTGAAAAGGGTAAGCAATAATTTAGGGGCTTACTTTTTATTTTGTTTGTGTGGTTTAGCTATTCTTGCTCTTTTTCTCTGTCGTAGTTCTATGCAAGCTCTGCAAACAAGCCTGTTTTTCTTTGTTTTACGTCGCCAAGTGTGGCAGGTTTTTATGTATCAATAAATTTTTACAGGCGGGGTACTCTGGATTTCAAGTGACAGGGATGATCGAATGGGAGCAAAAATCAAAACCCCAAAAATCCCTGGACCAAAATTTAGCCTCCAAACAATCCCATGCCAAATTTCCAAACCATAAAAATTTCCAGAAAGCATTCAATGATATACCTAGTGGCTATTCGTACGGCACCCGTACATCGACTTTGTATTTCTTATTCACACGGGATTCTTGCTAAATTGATTAGCGTTAAGCACTGACAATACTGATTAGGGTTAAATCATGCTATTATTTGCTTATACTATACTACCCACAAAAGGTTTGTAATTTTCACATGTAGGTATTTCAAATCAAGCTGAAATGTCACTACTCTAAGCCAATCAAATTGTAGAAATTTCTCATATAGTAGTATAGGGATTAAAATCACAAATATTTTAATCAGCAGTGAATATTCCCTGTTATATAGTGGTTAGAACTACGAACTGTAGATTCGACGCCCCGGGGATTGATTCTCAATCTAGCCACACTCTTTTTATTTTGTATGAAATTTGCCAATGAATTTTTTTCCTTAAAAATTGAACAGTGGTTGAAGAGACTTACACTTTCATGGAAATTTGTCAGTGACCAGAAATTTCAAGAAGAGACTTAATCCCATATGAGTAGCAAATACATGTTGGTGTACGGGTCCCATACAAATAACCACTGTGAATGAAATAATACGAAAAATAGAAACATTAGTTTTGAATACCCCCCAAAATCCCTACTTAAATCAAGCTACCCCAAAAAAGTGCCTGCCAAAATTAACCTACCCAAAACAATCCTGAAATCAAAAATTTCAATCCCAAAAAAATCCCCTGGGTTTCCATGTGTCCAAGAATCACCCAAGAATTTTATCAGCACCCCTCCTAAAGATCACAGGTTTTCGAAAAAGGGGGGTTCAGATTTTTTGTTTAATGAAGCCAACAAAATCTGGACCCTTGACGAATATGTTGCCTGTCAGGAGAGTTAAATCCTCCTTTAAGCTTTACAAAGCATAAGATCAGTGAAAGAAAGACCAGGTGTAAAGAAGAATCAAGCTCAATGCTTGCATGAACCATCTGTTGTGCCATTGTCTCTTGAAAACTGATTACAAATTATTGTATACCTTTGGAAACAATTGCGGCACTGAGAAAACACAATGTCTCTTGAGCAGTGATCGACATATAATTATATGAATACCCTATTTTGTTAATGTGTGGTTCCAGAAATTAAAATATCTATACCCCCTCCACGGAAGACTCTTTGATTTGCACCCCCCACCCCCAGGATTTCTGTTCCAGGGGGTTTTTGATGGCCCCCCTCCCCCCAGGAATTTTCCAGAATTTTTAAACGGGGACTTTGCTTACCTACCTGGGTACCAGAGGTTTTTCTAGCATGTGGCAGGAATTTTCGGTGTTGGCCAAAGGCCGACACATCTTCGCTCAGGGTATCACTTACCATCCTTTGGAAGTTCAAAGTGGTTTTGGTACTTAAAAACAAAGAAAGTGACTACTAACTCAGTTACGAAAGTACGGTAGAATTTTATTACAACAGTGCAGTGTAAACATTTGTTAAGCTTATTATTCAGCCAAACTTTTAGCTTCTTCACCATCATGTTTGCAAATTATGTCTGTGTTGTTTTTATGTAAGTTTATAAGCTTAAACATTTGGGTTGCAAGGCTTAAACGTTGATTGTTCTACATTTTTGTGCTTACTCTGACACGAACATATGAAGAGAACTTATGTTTCACCCACTTAAACAGCTTTGCAAACGATAGCAAAAAAAAAATCCAGAAACTTACAAGGTTCCTTTCTGGCTGTTTATTTTTCACACATTTTGTCAGTTTCTTCAGGTTGATTATTATTTTTTAAGGACTGAAAACTTCACTAACGCTTGTCAATGTGCTAGGTTTTGTGAACATCGTCACGATTGCAGAAGTAATTTTTCTAGCCAGGTAGCCGGGCCTTGTGAAGGTTGAGCAAGAAATGGGAACAAAAATTCTTGGTTTGCACTGTCACGCCATGAAAAATAAAAGTACAAGCCATACAATACAGAAAGTCTAGAATCTGGGAAATGAAAGAAGATGAATATACAAAAAGCCTTGACAAGAATCAGGTCTTTGAAATATTTCAAAAGCGAGATATTCGGAAAAACATTTTACCCAAAGTTATAAAGCTTTGTATGGAAACGCTATGTTGGTGTCCCTTTCAGGGACAACAATATGGCCGCCAGAAACCAACAGAAACATCTATTTCTGAGTTTTTCTACTAATGCGTGAATTCTTTGCTTGAGGAAATCGTAAAGATTAAAGTAATATTTATTCTGAGACAGGGAATGTTTAGATAGCAAAATATTTCAAAGTCGGTAATGTTGTTAACCCACATAAGAGCTTTCCTGGCCGTCAGCTAAATGCCATGTCATGCAAAAGCCTGGAAATTCACACGTCCTCTCTCGCAAAACGAAGAACCCTTTCAAACCAAAAATTTGTTTATATAAAGGTGTTTATGTACTGTAATACCTCATGATTAATTAAGTTCGCTGTTAGGAGTGGAGCTTAATGAAAATTCTATCTCTACAACTCACCGGCTTCCAGACACTAAAAAAATCAAAAATCGTATTATCGTGAAATTTGTACACAGAGACACAAGAGAAAAAGTCTGCAAAAAGAGGGCAAGTCTCATGAGGAAGTCAACGAAAGATCTTGATCCATCTGTCACCAAGAAAATTGGAAAATCAATTCAAAGGGCAAATTAAATCTACATCAATGAATCACTAACAAGCTACAGGAATAGATTGTTTGGTAGAATCCACGAATTCAAAAAGTCAAACAAATTCGATCAAATTCTTATGGACAGTTAATGGCAAGATCAGCCTCAGAGAGAGTAAGACATCTACAGTTTACAAATTTACAACTCATGAAGATTTTGAAGAATTTCTGGATATACGAGACTAAAAAACACAGTAGTTGCTACTTTAACTCTATTTATTTATTATGTGTTATTTTTATTAGTTTAGCATGGCTGTAGATTTTAATAGTGAATATACTAATCTATGTGACTGTCTACCCTTCAGTCACTTGGAATTGGTGTTGGTCAATAGATCCAAGAAAGTTAAAAACTGATCTGTTTGACCTAATTACCAATCCAGATAAATTTGGCGAGTGTGATCCTGAGCACATTCTTCCGCTATCATCATCTGACTATTATTCTGTATCTGAGATGAATAGTACCTTTGGAAAAGCTGGATCAAATGCCCTCACTCTATTCCATTGTAACATAAGAAGCTTGCCCAAGAAGCTGAGCCTTCTTCATGCTGTTTTATATTGTCTTGATAGCAGGCCTAATATTATTGCAATTTCTGAAACAAGACTAAATGAGAACTTAGTTTCAAACATGACTCGTCTACTGCAGCAGGTGGAGCAGGACTTAATGTCTCAAAAAGTTGAAAATCAATGCCAAGCCATGATCTTCAATAATTATTAGATGTAGAGCTGGTCAAGTCCTGCTGGGTTGAGGTTGATCCCTGTAATGGTAAAGCCCATGCAGTTATTGGATGTATATATAGGCACCCATCTGCGAATATAGATGACTTTACTAGGAAATTAGTTGAACTCACAAAAAATCTCAATCGGAAAAAACTATATAAAATTATATAAGTCTGTATTTTAGGTGACATCAACGTAGACTTTTTAAAATGTAATGTCCATTCACCAACCGAGAACCATTTGGAAATGCTTTATTCCAATAATTTCCTACCTATTATTAAACCAACTAGCTTAAATGGCAGCTCTAATTTGGGAAACTATTTCAAAAGAATTGAAGTCTCTTAATAATTTTGCCATTAAAAGAAACTGTAAAACCTTTTTATTACAAAACCAATGATAGCGAAACAGCTGAGAACCCTCTTTTCTTTAGCTTCCTGTCTTCATTGAACAATGCAGGAATAGTAATATATAATTAGGTAATTTTATTCTCCTTTTTTTTTATAAACTTTAATATAGTACTTTATTGCATTGTATCAAAAAGTCTAGAAAAAATTCTATATAAACAAGTATTCTCTATACCCTAATTTATTATTACCTCACACTTATATCTTGGACTCCTCTATTTACTTAAATGGGACAGTGACCAACACAAAAGCTTCGGCTACTTTGGTCACTGTGCACACTATCAACAAACTTGTGTATTATATTTATTTTTCATCATTTGTTAACCTACTGATTCTGTAAGCTATCTTATACTGTATCAACTTAAATAGTGCAAAATAAACTTGAACCTTGAACCTTGAAAGTAGAAATTCAGAAGAATCGATAGTTTCTTAGTTTGATTTTTGATGACGTCAAGTGCAAACCAAGAATACTCTCATCTCACCGCATTTTTTATGAGTTACTACCACCAATAAACACTGATAAAACATGAAACCTATCAAAAATGTGTTTCCTGCATGTAAAGGTAGCGAAAAGGGATACTCAGGGAGCAGAAGGGAAAGGAGTTTAATGTTGGTCGGACAAAAACGAGACAAAGACAAGACTCCAGTTATGTCCACCATTTTAAATCATTTCAACTTTGCTCCAAAGACACATCTTTCTTCTGGAGATTGTAACACTAGCTAACTCAAAGCAAAACAGAAATATTAAAGCTAACGATGTTAACCTCATCTCAATGGCCAGGAGTATTTTTGTGCCTCAGATCGATCATACGTTGCTTTCAATGTTTTGTACGTGGTCCGTCACTGTTTGGAAAATACTTTCCCATGACCCCCCCTCCCCCTCGGAATTTCCAATGATCTTCCATGGAGGGGGTATGGATATTTTCTGGAACCACACCAGTCCTTTCATCATGCATTTTTATTAATTTCCGAGAGATAATTAATCAACTCTTATTTGATTGTTATCCAATACATGTAGTATTGATTATTGTTTTCATCTATTAAATATGCTGAGGTTAATACAGTTGACTCTTTTAAGGGAGGCGGGGAGAGTGGTTGTTTGAACTGACTGATACTATACTGTACATTACACCAACTGTGAGCCCCTACAAACTGTGTGACCATTTCTTCTTTTCAAAGTTTAGAAATGGCGGCATTGTGAATGCTGTTCTCTTCTGAACCTGGAACTAATGTTACTTGCAATAAATTACTTTGGCATTTGCTGCCTTTTTACATAACATCAAGCTCTTCTGTTAACATTTTTAAGACTAAATACATATCCTTTTAGGAAAGTTTTTAATTGAATCATTTATTTATTTTAATGACTGTCAAATTTGTGATGATGATTTTTAGATAGTTTTTACTAATGTAAAAAGCTGTAAAGCACCTTTGGATGCTTGCAGAAAAGGTGCTATTAAATTGTTTATTATTATTATTACATGTATTATTATTATTATTATTATTATTCTAGCCTGTGATGGTTTTCACAAATAAGCATTGCAGCTGCTGTAGATTACAGAGTAAGCACTTCCACACAAAATTAAGGCGTCTCGGTCATGGCCTGCACCTCCATGATGTTTAACTGCTTAACAGAAATAGAACTGATGATTAAAAAGTTCATGAGAACCCTGGTGAAATACTCAGAGTTCCAAAAATATTTTTGACAAAACTCGTCCCTGAGCAAGCAGCATGTAAAAATCACCTTCCCAGAAAAAAAATAGCTGGTTGTCCCATCATTTCAATGGTAGATAAGTTCAAACATTCTTAGTATGAAAATACCTGTATTTTATTACATTTTTTGCAAGAGAATTATATGAATGGTCCAAATATTTGTACAAAACTTTGTGTACAACACAGTCATGACTAGTAAGCATTATTTTGTGTGTTAATTTGGGTTACTGCAACTTTAAGTATTCCTTTTTGTCAGAAAAGCAAAAACAGTTGAGGGGTGATATAAAACTAAATTTCATTTTGAGACAATTATTATGGCTTGGTGACTCTCCCAACTTGCAGACTTTAAAGCTGCAATGTAATCTCAACTCAAGATTCTCCTAATTGCTGCATTTAGTCTGCCATCATACTACTGTAGATTTTTAATATTCTTTTATATTCTTTTATTTATTTATTTTTTTTCAGTTTATATTTGAAGGCGAAGGTGGACAATGTTTTCTAAAGTGCGTACAGGCCCAATTAAATGGAACTTATTCCTTGGGCAAACCTATAAAAGTTACCATCCTGGCAAATGAGTGCGATCTAATTTCAAGCTTTTTCCCTGAAGAGCTGGCGAGGCAACTGGCCACATTTACCCAGATAGGTGTAGAAGTCAGTTTACTTGTTCCAGAAAATACACAGATTGATGATTGGAGTAAAAGGAGCCTAGAAGAAAATGGAGTTACCATTGTCAAAGCCAAGAGGCGACCAGGCTTTACTGACCCTTTTGATTGGTTGTATTATCAACCAGAAGACCTCAAAACAGACATTGTAATAGGAATTGGTACACGACTTGCTAAGATTGCACAGCACTGGAAAGAGCGATATCAATGCAAGAACATATATGTTGGTCTTGACAGTTTGCTTGGGTTTTATATAGGTGAGGAAACTTTTGTAGATGTAGATTTCAGAAAGGAACTCTCCGTAGCTGCCAACCTTCCTGTTGCTATAGGACCCAAGACAACTGATGACCTGTCTGCTTCTCTTCGCCCAAAAGGGAAGCAAGTGTTTAACCTCACCCCTGGAATCACCAGAGAATTTAGTAACTTAACTCATGCAACCAATGATGGAAGAAATTTTCGTGTTCTGCTTGTTGGAGGAGATAATCCTGACAATTTTCAGGAAGAGGGACTTGAACTTGCTGCAGAAACAATGGCAGAGTTAAATGATAAATCCTATCATCTAATTTATGTTGGTGCAAGAAAAGAAACAGAGAAGCAATTTGCCAATCTATTTCAACAGTGTGGTGTTCCTAAAAGGCAGCTAACAATAAGAAGCCTTCTAAAAACTAAACAAGAATGGAAAGATCTTTTCTGTGAGGTGGACCTTGCCATCATGCCATCAGGTGACAAGGAGTTTGGTTTGGAGGCACTTCTTGCCTTATCTGCTGGGCTTCCTGTGCTTGTCCATGGGGAATCAGGATTTGGTGAGGCTCTCAGGGATGTCACATTTGGAACATCAGCCATTGTGGATTCTGATGATGCCAGAGAGTGGGCTTCAAGAATCATAACCATCAGAGAGACGGACAGGAAGACCAGACTTGAGCAAGCAGCAATGTTGCGTTCAAACTACGATGAGAAGTACAGCTGGAAGAAGCAGCTTACACCTTTGGTTGCAATGATGTTCAGCATGGTTTTCGGTATGGTTTTTATTTCAAGTTTTTCACTTACTATGCTTTTATAGAAAATTTCCTTTAATAAGACAAAACTTTTAGGGATACATTTCAGTGTTAGGTCACTAAAAAGGCAAAGGTACCTTCTTTTACCTCAGAGTGTCTAGTTTTCATAATACTCCATAAAAATATTGTTGTTTGTAAAACACTGTTCATGGTAACTTTGAAAGTTTAATATATAAATACATTCCATTTTAGTTACATATACCTTTTACCAAAATGAGTAATATTGGTATTATTGGTATGGTTTTATTGAAGTAGTTGATTCGACTCATTCATTATTATAACCTTTTTTTTCAAATACTCACAACTTTAGTGGAAAATATGTCCAACTTGCCTTCAAACCAAACAAGTGGTCACTGTAGCAAAGGCATCCAACAGCCTGAGATGATTCAGTTGTTGAAGGAGAAGATTGACTAGCTATGGGTCTACATGGAGGTTAGTTAAGAGCTGCTACTAGCAGTAAATATCCCTGTCTCAGTCTTTAAAACCCCTTTTACTCGCTCAAGTGAGCAGCATCTTACGTGTAACGTACCCTACATGTAATTGCGAATTAGTGAACGCAGAGAAGAAAAGCAGTTGCAGAATCAGTTTGAGTCTAGTAGGCCAGTGTGGAAATTTAATTTCATTTTGAACAAATTTATTGGTCCAATAAAAACAAATGAATAGAAACAAGACAAATACTAGCATGAAAGAGACCAATGGGGAATAGTGCAAATGGGACATGTGCGCCACCCCAAGCTGAGTAAAAATTCTAAAAAAAAACCAAAATTCTCTTAAAATGGTAGTCAAGATGTAAAAGTTAAACGGTGAAATCTAATAAAAAATGCGCAAAAGACAGAAATTAAAGTGTAAATTATGAACGGTGGCACAGGCAATTGTGAGAGAGGAACCAGGTGCAGGGCATGTCGATGTCAAAAGTAGTATAATTATCTAACAAGGAAAGGTAGGTAGCACACATAATTCTTAAAAATGCTTAGGCTGGAGAATTTGTCGGAAGTAGCTAGTCTACAAATAGTGTTCCAGGTTTTTACAATCCAACTAAAAAAAGAGGCCTGGAAAGTAGTGGTTTTACAATAGGCAGGTTTTAACATAAGTGCAGGATTCGAGAACAAGACCAGTCATGGGAGATAAAGGTTACGAATTGATCGCTATTTAAGTCAGTTGATCCGGAAATGCAATCAAAAAGAAGGAATACAAGATCTCTAATTTCCCTATCATAAGTAAGTGGAAGTAGTCGAAGAGTCAGCAATCGTTGTTTGTTAGTGACCTCACCAATTTTAGTTCTAAGTATACAGCGAGTTGTACACCTCTGGACTCTTTCTAGGATTGTTCTCAATTTGACACATCCGGGAGACCACGCCTCTGTGGCATAAGAGAGTTGTGATTTCACTAGAGAGGGATTAAGACAGTGTCCGCCTAACTTTAACATCTGTGATAAGTGGACAGGTTCTCTTCAGAAGACCTAAAATTCTGTTAGCCTTGAGTACAATGTACATAACATGCGAGTCCCATGATAGATTGCTTGAGATGATAACGCCGTGGTCCTTTTCTTCCAAAATGTAAGTGTGGCATGCAGTGTTAAGTTTTGCTGAGGCTAACACTGACATTGAATTTGATTATCTGACATTGGAGTGATGTATGTGCTGAACCTATTGCACTGAACCCATAAATAGTAAGCAATAGCTAATAATCATTAAAAGTATTCCTTGCAAAACATGGGAGTTGGCTCCCAAGTATGCAAGGTTTACGTTTTTTCTGACTAGCAAAAATTCTTGTGTTCAAGTTCTGGCCAAGTTTTGTTGTTTTTGTTTTATTTTATTTTATTTTTTTGTGGGGGGAGGGGGATTCTTTTTTTATTCCCTTTTTTTCTCTGCGCTTGTTTTCTCTTTATTCGTATTGTTGGCCCTTTTCCTGGGGTTTACAAGGTTCTGTGAGCCACACATTAATTTTTTAGTTAATGTTTTAAAAACTCTCTATCTACAATGACACTGAACTACATTAGTTTTGATACTTCAGTTTGGCTATTTTGCAGAGTACACTGAAATGAAAGGAATAGCTAAAGAATAATTATGAACAGTAGCCTTGCCTGTACATGTGTAGGTGGTGCAGTGGAACCTGGTTAATATGGACACCAAGGGAACAGTGCCAAAAATGTCTGTTGTATATGGGTGTCCATATCAAGCACTAGGTGACCATAAAGCAGGGTTCCACTGTAGCACAGATATTAGGATTTGCCGCAAAAGCCAGCGAGAAGAGAAATAGGGCGAAAAGAAAAGGAGAAATCTTGCAGCTTTTCTTAGAAGATAGTCATTATTTTCTTTGCCATGGTACAACAAGCAAATTTGGCCATCACTTCAATCTGTGTAATCGGCTTATGTGTATCACAGTGGCGTTCAAGTTACTGAATAATGTAGATGTGCTTAAACCTTTTAACTATTAGTTTGTACAGTAACACATTTTTATTTATTAATTTTTTTACTCTATTTTCAGATCAAGAAAGCCCATAGGCGTCATCTAGATTTCTTTTTCTAGTTGTTGGCACTTTATTGAACCACTAGACATTTTAATGTCAGGACTTTTCCATACTGTAGATCACTTTCTCAACTTGGTTTCACTTTGTGAGGAAAAAAGAGTGAGTTGCCTCTTTAACACAGTTACTTTTGTTATTATACTCTCAGATAGAAGCAGGCATGCTTTGAGTCAACACTCGGTGTAGCGAAAAAGCATTTTAAAGCTACAATGGCATAACATGATTGTTTCTGTAGACAAGTCAACACTCAGTGACGAATCTAGACACAAACTACAGTCTACTGAGAACTTTATTGACGCCATTAAGATACCGGACGACCACAAACTAGTGTCCTTTGACGTGAAATCGCTGTTCACCAGTATTCCACTTCAACTGGCTCTAGACTGTACTGAGAACGCTTTTAATAACTCTACTGTTGAACTACCACTACCTACAGACGACATTATGGACCTACTCAACCTCTGTTTGACTTCGACGTACTTTCAGTACAACGGCAAACACTACAAACAGTTACACGGTACAGCTATGGGCTCTCCAGTTTCTGTTGTTGTAGCAGAAATTGTCATGCAAAACATCGAGGAACAAGCCCTAGCTACCTACACGCGAACTGTACCTCTTTGGTTACGTTACGTTGACGACACATTCACCGCCGTACACAAAGACGGAATTGACGATTTTCACGAACACACTCAGTGAAGTGTACATGTACATAGGCCTGTTAAACAGGTATTGATAATATCATTTTGTATAGTTAAGCTCCGAAATAAGCAGTATAGTGCAATATTATTGCTTTTTTTAAAATGGGGTGCATTATCAGTTAGTTTAAAATGATTGTTTGTGTAGACATGTAAACAGTCTGTGAAGTGTACATGTACATAGGCCTGTTAAACAGGTATCGATAATATCATTTTGTATAGTTAAGCTCCGAAATAAGCAGTATAGTGCAATATTATTGCTTTTTTTTAAAAGGGGCGTATTATCAGTTAGTTTAAAATGATTGTTTGTGTAGACATGTAAACACTTAGTGAAGTGTACATGTAGTAAATAGGCCTGTTAAACAGGCCCACGTTGACAATATCATTTTGTATTGTTAAACCCAGATAAAAGCAGTGTCAACACGCAGTGTAGTGTCCGGCATGCGTTTTAAAGATGCATTTTTGATTTAAATTCCCTGGGTTTGTGTAAATTATGTGAACACTCAGTGAAAGAGATCAGTAACATTTTAAACACCCTTAAAACAGCCATTGATAAATTAATTATAATCATTTTTTGTAGTTACTCTCAGATGAAAGCAGGCATGCTTTATGTCAACGGTAAAGGTGTGCATTTTAAAAATCTACAAAGCAATGATTACTTGTGTAGACATGTCAACACTCAGTGAAGTGTACATGAACATGCCTGTAAAACAGGCATTGATAAAATTATCATTTTTGTGAAAGTGTACCCTTTAAAATAAAAAGGGAAAAAAATTATGCCTTTGGATATTGTACAGTGGGTGAAAATGGTCCATGAGGCTTGACAGCCTGGAAAGAGATAAGTAATCTCTATGTCAGTGGACAACAACTGGCCGTCAAACAGCCATTATTGTAGGTTTTCTTTGCAGCCAATAAGGTGTGTGCTCTATTTACTTTCATCTATAAATAAAGCTTTTAAAGCCTTAGTCGTTCTTGGTTGATGTGCAGCTTTTTAAGTTGGGGCAATCTGCAGGAAGAAATCCAGGAATTTTTTTATTGGAGGGTTCCAAACCAAGTTCGGAGGAGGGGGGCGGGTCTTAGCTGTGTACTTTGATGAAACTATGTCAAAGCTAATCGTTCCCAACCTGCCAGGCTACATCTGGCCATTATACGTTGTCTTTACGCGTTTTTCAGACGAGCGAAGGCAAGCGGTAAGTGAACGAGGAACGCCAGACACGAAACACGCGCGATGCGAGCGAGGAACGCCAGGCACGAGACACGCGCGACTGTGTCTTTGCTGAACTAATTCACCATCATCTTAGTTCGGCTAAGCTGGTTTGCTAAGAAAGTCATAGTGCGAGGGTGGTGCGGATAGGAGAGCACTTGCTTCCTATCGTTATAGCTAGTTATAGGAGTCCTCTCTGGTGTCACTTTTTATGTCGCCTTTCCAGTTTTCGTCTACCGTTGCAATAAGTGAGTAAGCGCACTTGAAGGTTTACATTTTACCCGGAGGGTACCCCGCCCTTTCCACAATTGAAGCCCAAGGGGGGGAGTTTGCTTACACAACTAAGTTTTATTTTATGTAGTAGGCTCCTCCTCAAGGACCCTACCCTCACCCTTTTACCCTTTTGTATACCATTCTTGACATAGCTCACTTGTGTGAGTTTAGGGAAGATTTTTTCCAGTTTTCGTCTACCGTTGCAATAAGTGACTAAGCGCAGTTGAAGGTTTACACTTTACCCGGAGGGTACCCCGCCCTTTCCACAATTGAAGCCCAAGCGGGGAGGGATGTGGTAGGCTCTTCCCCAAGGACCCTTCCCTCTCCCTTTTACCCTTTTGTATACCATTCTTGACATAGCTCACTTGTTTGAGTTTAGGGAAGATTTTTTCTGGCGGAGCCGCCATTCCACGAGCCTATTTCTGGCAGAAAAGGTACCCCTTTCGTGTATCTTCAACTGAAACTGACCCCTTCAACATACGACGTACTTTTTTTTTCTTTTTGTCCTTTACAAAAAGAAAATGATTTAGGTACATGTATATGGCGCATCTCAAGTTTGAACATTTTAATGAAATCCCTTTTAAATGATTAAATGATAAATTTTCCAACCTTTTTATATTCTTGAACTCGTGAATTCCCTACATCTACCCTTCTTTTAAACATGAAGTCTAAAGGGAGCGCCCCCTTAAGAAAAACAAAAGAGAGTGGATAATGTATGTACATACACAGATTCAAGCTGTCAGAGAAAGGACATGAAAACCAAAGAGTTTTGTCAGTCACTTTGAGGAACGTTGAGTCGACTATGTCTCGTGGAACGCAAACTTTAATCTCTTCAGAAGTAGGTTACACTCATAGAGCTAATGACATACTAACACACACACCAAAAATATTCTAGGGGTTGCTTATATATACCTTAAAGAGGGCGTTTCTAGAATATTCCAAACAAATACATAATCAGTCTATTTATAGAGACTTACATAATGTTTGACATTCTAGAACGTTCTTATCTAAAAGCAAATGTAGATGAATTCCAGAAAATTCTAGATATCATAACACAGGGCGCCTAGACGCCGCAACCCCCACAAAGGAAGATTAAACTCGTGATTACATTTCTAGGTTACGTGATTAAGAGCCTAAATTTATATTAAATAGTCCCGTATCAGAATCAAACGGCCATTTTGTTCATTAAAATCGACATGCACGGATGTAAGGGCAATTTTTATCATACTGGCGAAGCCTATCCAATGGATCGTAAACGACCCTGGCCAAGTTCTTAACCGCCCTTGAAGTTTATTGAAGAAGGACGCGCATTCTTTCAACCAGGATCCCACACTGTGCCTCCCACTTGTACTCTTCGTCATAAAACTCCCGGAGATAGCGCGCTTCCCTAAGTCGAATTTGCCTCGGTTTCTGTCTCGCACGTCTGATAGCTTTACCCCACTCTTCCGCTTCATCGGAGTCTACTACAAACGACGAACCAAAGGTTACGGTTTGGAGAGCTTGCCCAAATCCAGAATTATCACTCACCACAATCGGAAGACCAGCGGAAAGTGCTTCCAGAGCGACCAGACCAAACCCTTCCGTTCGTGAAGGCATAATGGCGAGATCAGCCTCACAGAAGAGGTTTTCCAATTCACCACGACTCTCAATAAAGCCTCGCACAATTAGCTGACTGGGAGAAATGCCACACTTTAGCAAGCTATTTTTGACCTCTTCTTCTTTTCCTTTTGGCGCTCCGACAAATATTAAAAGGTAGCTTTTATCGTTCAAGCCTGCTACAGCTTGTGCGGCTATATCGTATCCTTTTAGTTCAAAATCTTCCGAGTCACCCCGACCAAACACTAAGATGCGGAACTTTCCCCTCTCCTCAGTGACTTGCTCCATCTTTGCGAACTCAGGAAAGATTCCAGGTGTGATATCTATCACGTGTTGATCTTTACCATACGGCCGCAAGTTTGCAGAGATGGCTTCCGTCAGCTTTGGTCCCATGGCCACGACTATATCAGCTTCCTTACAAAAATCTACTTCCTTTCGGTGCTTCTCCCCGCCTCCTGATATCGCTTTGTCGTATTTCTTAAACATTGCAAGCTCTTCACTGGCAGTGTGTACTACATGAACTCGTTTGCACTTGCGCTGTTTTGCTATGATCTGAGCTGGTCCTCCGAGCCTCTGACCATGGCCGATAACAACATCAATATCGAGGTCTTCACGAGGAAAGCTCAATCCTATTTTGGGATCAACACCGGGCATTGGCTCTGGTGTGGTAAGACGCACATTACAACGGTTGGCTTCTTCCCTCTCCGGTTCACTGAATTGTGGTAAAAGGATGGTTACCTCTACATCAGGTCGTTGTCCCAGGCACTTTGCTAGTTCTCTGTTCACCGTAGACAATCCGCCCTTTGATGAACCCCATTCATCTCCCAAAGAAGTTACTCTTAAAGGTCTTCTTGCGAAAGAGCCTGATGGTCCATCATTTCTGTTTTCCTACAGGGGGAAAGAGAAATATATAAACTTGAGTTTGGCGAATCTACATTGGCAAAAATAGCAGCCTTTAATCACCACTGTTTCTTTTGCCTAGAAATAATCCCGCTGGTTTAGATAATGCGCGCAACAGCACTCGGAAGCTTTTAGTATGTTAGGTTATCTCATTGTATGGATCTTACTTTGTTGTGGTATAACCTAGGCCCAGGGAAAAGACTGTAGATGTTCACAGTCCCCTATACTATTTTCCGGTAAGATCATTGCGATCAAGCGCTTACTCTAACAAGCGGCACACCTCGACGGCGGCCCCTCGGTACATTACAAACCAAGATACTATTGTAAGCGCTCGATCACGACGATCCCACGGAAAACTATTGTAGCCTTTTTAGCTAGCGGGATTGTTATTTCCGGGATATTTTCTTGGCGGCGGAGCAGCGAGGGAGTTTCCCGAGCGTGGACTTGCGCCCAATCTTCTCGCGGCTCTGCCGCCAAAAATCTACAGCAATCGTTAGCTACATCCCGTCAGCTACATATTAGGCTAACGGGGAACTGATAGGGGACTGTAATTTATAAACAGTCCTGATGAGTAAAGAAATGGGGGAAGGGTATCGCCCAAAAGTACACTCTAAGGGCTCTTTCTCCCCTTAATTGAAATGTCCGTCAACATAGAAATTGGGGAGAAAAGAAGGCCTTCTCTGAGTACACAGGGACAGCGCAGAGGGGGGGGCTGGGGGGGGGGGGCTTTAGCCCCCCCCCCCCCCACTTTTTTGCAAGAATAAAAATAAATTAAAGAAAAAATAATTTAACAAAAGTAACGGAGTGAAAAATAGCAAAAAATCGTTAATTCGAAAGTGACCAGAGTTACTGGCAAAGACAAACGCGCAGATAAATAGACAGAATGAAGCATTAGTCGTTACAATTGTAAAATATTTTTTCCTTCACGCATTCTTCTTTAGCCCCCCCAACTTGAAAACTTGCTACGCGGTCCCTGGTACAGTATGGTTCAGCTCTAACTACTGCTGCGTAAGTTTTGTTATTGATAATTAAAGAACTTTTTAAATCGTTCACACTTTTAATTTGACCTAAGTCAAACATTCTTTGTTGTTGTATACCTCTTTCCTCCGTAGATGGGCCTCTGTGTGCCTTTTGGATGAATCTCTTATTCTTTTGTTTTTCCAGAGGTGGTATACTCGAAATGTCTCTCTGGAATATGGGCGCTGGGTACGTGCATCTTAATGGGAACGTTTCATCGTGTTATTTTTGGTTACTATACTGTAGGTTTAATCATTGTTTACCTCAACTTCGCTACGCATGGCGACGAGTACTGCCTGACTTGATTTTAAAGGACTGATGTTACCTAAACTGAGAAAGGAAAAAGAATTAGAACATAATTCAAAGAGAGAATGATATTAAGGTTCCCAAGGGATGATAAGTTCTCATTCGTATAGAATGCTGCACTAACGAAATATAAATCACAATAAGACCCTTTCACGTTTTTTTCAACTTTTGACATGTACAAGTTAGGGAAAATCCGTCAACATCACTGGAAAGACGGCCTTAAAATTCGTAAAACTGTCAAATTTGAAAGTGATACGTCTTTAGCAAGCGAAGATAGAGTTCCGCAAAGTTGCAAAACTTGACTTCTGTATGGTGGGGGACAAGTTTGTGCCCCTCACCATACAAATGTCTGTAAAATTTCGAGACTTTGAGGAACTGTAATTGTTAGGCGCTCTTTCTAGTAATGTCAACGAATTTCCCCTTACTTGTCCACGTCAAAAGTTGCAAAAAAAACGTGGGTCTATTGCACAGCGTTATACAGTCATGCACCGTGCAATGAGAGTAGTAGAGAGTAGCATGATGAGTTTCTGTTTATCTCCTGAATATCAATGGAAAATTGCTATTGAAAAGTAGTTATAAATAGAAGATCTGGATACTAGCCGCGGAGCAGGCTGTTCAAAGTCTAACAAAACCATAAAAGTTATCTATTCCGACTAACCATGGTCCAACTATGGATTAACCCACGAATGCACAAAACCGTTTTGCTGGGGGAGGTCATAATTTTTCTTAGGCCAGAACCCACCCCTTCTTTTCAGTAGAAGTTCATTTATTCCTCCACAAATTTAGATTTATTCGTAAGCAAACCTTATTGTTAGCCGGTTACTATGATTAAGAGATCTGAGCTATTAAGCAACAATGCAAATTTTTGACATTGTAAGTACATAAAACGTTCAAAAACTATATACCAAAAGCAGCGAGTTAATCAGAACGTAATTTAGATCTTGAGTGTTAAAAAAACCATACTTTCTAATGATCATTAAGCTATTAGTATTAACCTGAATTTTGCATGAAGTCAACAGCACCACATACCACGACATTTGTATCATCTTGTAGAGTTGATAACATGCAGGCTATCTTTTAAATGTTATGTTTTTGCAAAATGTTAGCACGTTCCAACTGCCTTCCCCCGACTTTAATTTGTACATCGGTGAAATATTGATAATGTTAGTTTTCTAAAAAGCCTCTTCTAAAATTAATTTTGTAAACCTTCTTCACCAAGAGCTCGAGAATATCCTCTCCTGCTTCTAACTAATGTCTTATTTTCCTTAACATAAGTTAGTCGTGGCGGAAGTTACATTTCTTTCCGCTTTTTGTGGTGGATAATTTAGCTCCTTGACGGGACACATGTGTGGAGATAAGCATCAAGTTTAGGGCAAAAGGCAAAGCTGACAAAGTGGCCATTTCAGTTTTTCTGCAATGTATTGAGTAATACTTTTTGCCTATACCGTTTTCAACATGTCAGACCGTGAATGTTTCTACCTTCGCCGGCTAAAAACGTTGGCGAAAAACTTTTACTTTTTGACGTGATGTTACACGGGACGATTCGCAACGACGCCTTTAGCGCAACACAGCGTTGCAAGGCTGGAACAATGTTGTAACCATTCGAAACAATGTTACAACAATATTGCAACGCTGTGTTGCGCTAAAAATCGTCGTTGCGAATTGTCTCGTGTAACATCACCTTGTCGGATATTGGCATTTGTAATCTCTGACGTTCGTCGCCAACATGTGCTTTTAAAAGGCTTTCTGAAAAGCGACCTTGCTCAGTGATTGTAGGGAGTGAAGGGTATCTCGGTTGCCTTAATTTATAATAACATTGATTCGTGAACTTCTATCGACTCGTAACATGTGATCGCCTCAGTTAGCCCATTAGTCATCGGCAATCATTAGTACTGACAGAGAAGAGAGTTTTTAGAAAACAAATAGAGAAAAAGTTTACTTTGTTAACATGCATAATAACTGCAAATTCTAGGGGAAAAAATGGGAAACGTATTTTGTTAAACGATTATGAAATATCTCGCTAAGTTTGTGAAACTACGTTTTGGGTAATCAAATCTTCATGTTGCGTATCCGAATTAAACATTGCCATATTTTATCATAACCTCACAGTGCACGACTTTGGAAAAAATTACGCCTGAAGGATTTAGCATTCAAATGTGAAGAAAAAGGAGTATTCTCATAACCAGTAGTCTAAAATAAAAAAATATATCCTTTTAGTTAGAGACACTTTTCATGACACAGGTTATCATATCCCGGCCAATTCCTCGAAATGCCGGTCGGAAACTTTAGAAGAAGCAATCCTTAAGAACAAAGCAATGTTGTTTGGAGGTCATTAACCTGGAAATAATAATCACTCAGTTTAACACGCGAGTACATATTGCAACCCTGCGTGATTGATAAGTGAATATGCAGAGAATGATTTTCTGTCTTCCTGGATCTCCTTTTCCTTCGTGTTGAATTCAGTTTTAAATGAACAAAAAAGAAGGAAAACTACGCTTAGTTGAATTGAAAGGGCACGGTCTACTATACCTCGTCGCTTTAGCATTAATTGTGACTGAACGTCGGTGGAGCTCTTGCCCACCAAAGATATACTCATGATAATCTTGAGTCATGAAAGTAAAGACTAGTAAAGTAATGAAATGTTACATACATACGTAATTATAATGATCATTGTTCGAAATGGTTCGTTCAAGCAGGGGACGAATTTCCAGTTCCTAGTCCTACGCCCTGTTTGTTTACTCCCTTCAAGACGCTTCTCATGATATACATTTCTATGCTGGTTGTCGGCTTCTTTTCAGTAGGGATTATTAGACCGAACTGTGAGTAAGACTGTATTAAGATGGCGTAGGAGTACAAAGTTTTCAATTTCTTCAGATTTTCACTGTAGTTTCACACCACTCATCTATCTAAGTCTCGTGCCAGTTCAACGAAAGTGCTGGAGAGTTCTGGGGACATCTTGAACTAGCTCTAAGCAAGTCGTATTGATCTCGCACTCGTAATCAAGACAATCAAATGTCTAGGTATACGAGCTTAAAATTAAAGCAAATGATAAAACTCGTTGGCGCGTTACCGCTCGCGATCGCGTGAATGATCTGGTACACTGTCTGATACTACATTGCTAATAAACAGCAAGAAGAATAGAGCCTGAAGCTGAAACTATTTTTAAACACTGACAAAGGCCTTTGTTTACATCAGCCGGTGGATAGGGATCTATCCAGACAAGGAAACTTATCTTACAGCTTAAAGTATTAACAATGAGGCACTCTACATTCATATGTAATACGTATTCGGCTAGCTGACCTCATTTACGCGAGTTCTCAACAGTAAAAACAGTATCAGAAAAGAACGTGAATAAGTACATTCACTGCTACAATTTTCTTCTAACGGTAATGCTCGGCTCTTTCTAAACATGCAGCAGTTTTCCATGTTAACGACGGTAGAAGATTCGAGAAGATAGCATAATAATCAAAGTCATTACGAAAATGCGGGATTACTCGTTATTTTCACAAAACAGAAAGTCTCTTACGTTTTCCTCAGTACGTGTCGGCCTTCCTTTTTGCTTCCGCAAAGGGAAAACTGCCAGAAACTGTCGAAGGGTTTCAATTTATCAACAGCGTTTTTTAAGGCGGTTACGCTATACCCAGCTTATGCTAAATTATGGAAGGTAGGTATTTCCTGGTGCGAAGGCTCCCGCTGGTTAAGTGGGACGGGAGGCTCTGGGGATGAGAATGCTCTTGTACTCAGGGTCCTCCGGCTTTTTGGTTAGCGGGTAGATTCCTGGCTTGATATGAAGCACCTACCGTACCTACCCTGGCGCCCGCCTGCTAACCAAAAAGCCTGAAGCCTAGCAGATTGGCTCGCCTCGTACCCAAGCGTCTCTCTAACTTTGCAAATTTGGGCGTAGAAACCTTGTAATTTCCAATTTACCATCGATTATTCGAACCATATTTTGAGCAATTAAAAGCCGGGGAAAAAAAACAGTCCACCGGCGTCCGAAGCATTGAATTTTGAATTTCCCATTGACGTGTTGTAGGCATATACTAGTACTAGTGGAGGCTGATGTTGTTTGTCACAAATCTAACGTGAAACAACTTTACTTCTCAAAACAGTAAAAAGAAAGCTCTATTTAGGCAATGTTTTGTTACGTTACTTCCGATTTATAACCTAGAAGTATCTTTTAATTTTCACTTGACATTTCTACAATTAAATGTGATTAAAATGTTCACTGTCCAGTAAAAACTGTTTATTCCTTACTCTTGGCTCCCGATAACTCGCACTTTTTTCGATTTCCCTTGAAGGTTCGAGTTATCGGGAGTCGACTGTAAATCTTACTCAACTCGAGCGTTTGTTTGTTACAAGAGCGATTGTTGTATCATTTGCAAGATCTACGCCCTTTTTCTAACTACACTTATTATAAGTTATCGCTTCTCACCCCTGAAAAAACGCACATTGTTAACAACATCCGCATTGGATCACTCAATCTAGCTTTCGACTTTCAACCTAGAGGCCCGCTCTATCCCAAGCTACCATATCATGAAGAACTACTCACTGCCTGGCTCAAACATAAACCAAATCGCACAAGAGGTCAACTTCGTAAACGAAGGTCTCTTCCGGAAAAATGTCATTCACTAGCTACACTCCCTAACCTAGCCTGTTGCAGGTTCTCAGATAGTGGGGAAGACGCGAAAGAATAAGGCACACGAAAAGTTGGCGGAGAGGGAAAAAGGAAAAGTTTCCTCCCGTTTTATTTTCGTGTTTGCGCTTTCTCAATTCAGCGGACACGACTGTCTAAGAGCCTGCAACAGGCTATCACCAACCAAACCTGGATTACCGCCAACCTTATATAGGTAGACGTGTCTGACATATTAAATACCTTATTGTCTACCACTCCGCTCCATAAATGAACCTCTCCTACCCCTCCCTCGCAAGAGCACCTTCACAACGCTCAACACACGGCACGAGAATATCAACAACTGCTACAAGCCCTACCACAACAACTGAAAAACATCGTACCCAGTCAACTACCACCACTGCAACCGCACCACAATCATCTCTCGCGATGCAAATTAAAGGCAACCTGCAAAACCCGCGTACAGTCCTACTCAACAAACCGATCGCGCGAACCAACCTTACAGCAAGAGACACACGCATGCGCACAGCAATATCACACAATATGTACCTCACACATGCGCACAGTAATATCACCCATGCAATAACAACCATATACAGTTATTGTGGCCTTACAAGGCTCATCTGTATGGAATAGTCGTCAGACCTCTGCGTCAAAACGGTGTTCAGAGGCCCTTTACCACCGCGGCAAGTGTAACTCCTTCAAGCGCACGCTCCACAATGGCGATCTACATCACTTCAATGCCAGTTTCTAGAAAACTCTCCATACACCTTCAGCATCTAATTAACATGGAGACACCATCTGAAAAATAGCACACCATATCGTACCGTCTGCTCTAATTCTCCACCGCATGACAGACTGCCTAATTGTGACCAATGCCGGGAGCCACCGAAACGCTATCACTATATCTCACCTTTTTACTACACTGCCCAAGCCTTCAAACCTTCTGGGATGGGACAAGATAAAGCGTTAAGCGGCGCAAACTCACCGCAGGTACTCTTATAGGACCGTTCCTCCACAGATGAAAAAGATAGAGCGACCAAGAATCCCGCCATAACGTAGTCTGGGAATGAGGATTATTGCGATCGCTGTAGATAAATCACTCAGTAATTGCGTATGTTTGTAAATAACAAAATGCATTGTTTTTTAGGTGGTAGTTAAGCTAAAAAGAGCCATAAATGTGCAAAAGAAAATCAGCAATGCGCAGGAGGATTTACCGCTATGAATTGTGTTCAGTGCGGACCATGTAGGGAAAAAAAACAAATGTCGCTGCAGGAAAGAGGGTGAAGGCGGCGGGGAAGGAGGAGGGGGAGGTACGTATACTTTAAGTACTAAAACTTCATCAAAATATTGGGAATCGGATCAAAACTTAATTCGGGAACTCAGAGTACGTGGATTGGACCAATTTAGGTTTCTGTGAAACTGCTCACCTACCCCTCCCCTAAGTCAACGTTTAACACTTACTTCTCATTTGGGGCAAAATGTTGGGTTAGGGAAGGGGTAGTTGGGCAGTGAAGCTGAGATCAAGAATCTTATTATATTTTCAGACTTTCGCATAGAAACGCAACCGTAGCTGCAACCATGTCAATCTATAAAAATTAAAACGTTTTTTGGATTAGGTTTCTGGAGGTTCTTTGCCGCTTTCAAAACTACTGTAAAGATCCTGTTTTGTCGTTCTACTGTCAAAAACCACGTAGGAGTTTTGGATTCCATTTATCTTTGAGCTATTCTTGTGAAAATCCATAAGGTTTACATATTGAGGTAAATGAGGTAGGAATTGGCTTGAACTTTGACTGGACTGAATTTTCTATCTCTTGCACAACCTTTTCTTTTGAGATCAAAACAGCTGATGTCATTTTCATTAAAAAAAGGGAAACAACTTATCACATCAGCTCAATTAAAACCACTAAAATTATTTTGGTGCAATGTATAGTGCGTTAGTTTATTCATACCACTAGCAGGAGTTCAGATGTCTCCACAGGATTGGCTCGGTGCACTAATCGCCGTCGGTATTAATTTTCGTGACATTAGGTGAAAAAAGTTCTATAACGCATAGCAGCGCTAACTAATAGCGCTCACCGTGAACTAATCTACTATAGTCTGCTACACAGCCCTTTTTAGTATCGTCACGCTGCAGACTACTAATCTACTGTCCCTTTATTGGCTATCAACAACGATGCCAAAGATTGGAATCCAGGACAACTGTGTTAGAAGATTCACGCGGTCAGAGAAAAGGACTTGATGAACTCCGCAACCCCCACGACGGAAGATTAAACTCGTGAATACATGCATTTCGAGGCTACGTCCTCGAGAGCCTAATTTAAGTAGTCCCGTATCAATAAAGGTAAGAAGACAAGTAATAAGTAATATAAGAATCAAACTGTTATTTTGTTCATTAAAATTGACAAGCGCGGATGCACGGGCAGTTTTTGTCATTGGCAAAGACTATCCAATGAATCCTAAACGACCCTGGCCAAGTTCTGAACCGACCCTTGAAGTTTATTGAAAAAGACGGCGCATTCTTTCAAGCAGGATCTTACATTGCGTCTCCCACTTGAACTTTTCGTCATAAAACTCTCGTAGAGAGAGCGCTTCGTTGAGCCGAATTTGCCTTTCTTTCTGTCTCGCACGTCTGATAGCTTTACCCCACTCCTCAGCTTCATCAGAGTCTACCACGAACGACGAACCAAAAGTTAAAGTCTGCAGAGCTTTTCCTAACCCAGAATTATCACCCACCAAAATGGGGAGGCCAGAGGAAAGAGCTTCGAGTGCTGCGAGACCAAAACCTTCTGTTCGTGACGGCAAAATGGCTAAATCAGCCTCACAGAAGAGTTTTTCCAATTCACCACGACTCTCAATAAAGCCTCGCACGATAAGTTGGTTGCGAGAAATGCCGCACTTCAGCAAGTTATTTTTGACCTCATCTTCTTTTCCTTTCGGCGCTCCGACAAATGTTAGAAGGTAGCTTTTATCATTCAAGCCTGCTACAGCTTGGGCGGCTATATCGTATCCTTTTAGTTCAAAATCTTCCGAGTCACCCCGACCAAACACTAAGATGCGGAACTTTCCCCTTTCCTCACTGGCTTGCTGCATCTTTGTGAACTCCGGAAAGATTCCAGGTGTGATATCTATCACTTGTTGATCCTTACCGTACGACCGCAGGGGGGCGGAGATGGCTTCCGCTAGCTTCGGTCCAATAGCCGCGACGATTTCAGCCTCCTTACACAGTTTTAATTCAGCTTGGTGTTTTTCCTCGCCTTTCGGTAACGCCGTTTCGCCTTCCTTAAACATTGCAAGCTCTTCACTGGCAGTGTGTACTATATGAACTCGCTTGCACTTGCGCTGTTTTGCTATGGCCTGGGCTGGTGCTCCGAGCTTCTGACCATGGCCTACAACAACATCAATATCATGATCTTCTGTAGTAAAGCTCAATCCCCTTATAGAATCAAACCCAGTCATTGGCTCAGGTGTCGCAAGGCTTACTCTACAGTCATTAGCTTCTTGCTTCTCTCTTTCACTGTAATGTGGCAACAGAAGGGTAACCTCTACCCCAGGCTGCCGTGCCAAATGTTTTGCTAGTTCTCTGTTCAGCGTAGATAATCCGCCTTTTGATGATCCCCATTCGTCTCCCACTAGTGTTACTCTTAAAGGGCCCCTTGCGAAAGAGGTTGATGATCCCTCAGATCTGGCATCCTTAAGAAGGAGAGAGAAAGAAGTAAATAAAAAAATTCATCAGTACAGGATTCCGGATTCCGGAAGGCGGGAAATGTTTTGCCCGTGGCATCCGGACTGCGCAAAAATTTTGCTTGTGGAATCCGGATTACCCCTCAAAAAATCCGGAAAATCCTCCTAACTATTGGAATCCGGATCATTCAAGTACCACTGACAAAGGCTGGAATCCAATAGCGGAATCCACGGCGTGGAGTTCCAGAATTCAAGACTGCCTTGGATCCCCTTACGTGGGGCCACAGAACGGTCTTGATCTAAACATGATTATTAAAATCTGAATCATCGGATAACGCAATTCTAAAGCTCTGATTGGCTTAGTCATCATGGTATATGCGCCATTATACCATGATCTCCAAATATGGTAAATGTACGCGTCTACTCAAAGTTAAAATTCAAGCTATAAATCGGCTGTTTTTACAAATAAAGTCGGGTAGAATCCTCGATATATTGTGAGCGTATTTGATAAAACATTTATTTCACTCGCGCTTGAATATGATCATGAGATGATTATAGCCAACGAAGCGCGTTGCGCCGAGTTGGCTATCTACCATCTCACGATCATATCCAACGCGCACTCGTGGAATAATTCTTAAATATATCATTTGCGCATAGCTCAGAGTAAAGTCCAATTGAAAACAGTGGCCAAATAAATACAATAACATACAAAACATATCAGGTTATGTCGTAAAAAAAGCAATAATTTTTTTAAGAATAATATTTTTGTCTATTCAAACGGGGGGACTCAGCTTTAAAGTTGAATAACTTCAAAACCATAGAAGATATGACCGCAAAACCTTAGCGACTCACCCCCTTAGTGTTAAATAAGCCATTTCCGAGTTCCTCCTGGCCTCTGTATTAAAACAAGGTTTTATCGTGCTCAGCCTTTTATATGGAAATTATTTTTTATTCTCATGCATGCAAATAAAACTCATTTTCACAAGAAAGGTTGTGCACTTGACCTCATTTTGAAGGTGAGGATTTTTGGAACTCGGAAGTCATTAGCCTATTTATCAGGGAGCATTTGACGTAGTGCATTTATCATTATCGTGACCATGACAACCGAGTTTTGACAGCTCAGTCAGTATGGCAATGTTTTCTCCAAAAAATTAAAATTATTTTCTTTCTTTCTTTTCTTGAATTGTTAGTGTCAGTTTCACTTTGTATCTATTAGTAATGAAAGATGAAGGTGAAGTTTTGGCTCAGCTAATAAAATTTAAGATATGACGCCGTAATGACGTCACTTTACGTCATGTGACAATAAATTTGAGAGGTCAGTTTATCTGAGTTATATGGATCCCAGGTAGCGCGAAAAAAAAAAAAGAAATCTGGCTCTCGCAAGCTAATATATATGCGAGGTTTACCTCAGCTTCCTTCTGCATAGTGCCTCGGACATTCACTAACTTGATTATGATATTATCTAAATTGAGAAAGAACGAAGAAATGTTAATAAAATGAAAAAAAAAACATGGATGATAAGAAGTTTTCATTCGTGTACCTGAGTTTGGGCTGAGAAAACGCACAGAAAAGATAATTAAAATTAATTACAGTTGTGTTTAACATGCATTCTACAATATGAGTAGTCTGTCTTTTGCTGACAGTACACTGCTGTTTTGAAACATTTATCGTGATTTCGAATATATATTTTTCCTAAATATAAATGGGAAGGAAGAAGCAAGCTGAACGTTATCAAAAGATGAAGCTTTCTTCAGCGCCGGATGAAGGTTACTTTTTTTTTTTAATTTTACCTCATCGAAATACTGGGCAGTAAAATTTCCGTTCATAGCTGTCTGATCTTTCCTGCACTTTATAGTTTTAAACACCAGCATTTTTCAAGTCACTACAATGACACACTCTCGAAAATAACCACGTTTCGTAGGCGACCGCGACCTTTTTAGGGGGGACGGTTAATTTTACACTGCTTTTAACCTTTTTGTAAGCAGCCATTTGACATACGCATGATTTGACCTCTGTGTTCTCTTTGTGTACTACACTACTCAGAGTATGAAGAGCTTATAACAACATACATGAAATGAATTCTCTTTCTAAAAGAAGACGTTCGAACCTCTTCATGGGAAGAAGTCCTTGTGGTTCGATTCTCGTACGCGAGAGGGTCGATGATAGCTTCTTATTAAATGACCTCTAATTGTTCTGATTGTCTACCAGGGCTCAAAACAACGTTTTCGTTTTGCATGCAAGGATCAGTGAGGGGTTCCAAGACAGCGTCACAGTACAGATAGAGTCGGTTTCCTAAATTTTTTTCAGATTCTGAAATTAATTTTTTAAATGTTCTTCGCCAATAGAGGATATCCTCTTGATCTTAACACATATCTTGTTTTCGTTGACATAAGTTAGCGATAAATCCATGCTAATTTTCTCTACTTATTGTAATATTTTCAGGACATACGAAAAGGCAAAAATGACCATGTGACCATTATTTCTTTCCAATCCTGCGAATGCCTTTTGTCGGATTCTCCCTTATTGAGGAGCCGTTTTGTGAAATCGGATATAATAAAATAGAAGTTGCATAGTCATCTTGACCTCCGCTTGCTCTGAGTGACTGTAGTAAATTTAAAAAAGAGCGTCCCAGTTTATCACATAAAAGTTGAACAATTTTAACTTCGTTACAATTTGACTCGTGTGTGGCTCGCGATGTATTCAGACAGAGAAGAGCTCTTAGAAATGAAAAAGAAACAAATTTTACACAGTTGACCAGACAACTGGCAAATTCTAAGTTGAGGAAATGAGAAACGCACTCTTGTAAAATTTATAGCTGCTACTTTCTAACAGTTAGATCAGAATCCGTCTACTTGATTCAAACTCAATTTTGATCGATCACATCCTTACGTTGTTCCTAATTAAACACCGAAATATTTTATTATCTAATTGTGCATGACTTTCGAAAAATTTCGTCTTAAAGTCCCGCATTCATTGTTAAAGAAAGCCAGTATTCTCAAAACCAGCATTATGATTTTCGGCATAAAAAATACCCTTAATTTTAAGACACCATTTTCCGTTGCTGCCAGAAGAAGCTTGGTTTTTCCCCGCAGAAGACACTATTCCCTTGACACAGATGATCATAACCCGGCAGTTCCATGAAATGCTGACCGGAGACGTCACGGAACCAAGAAAGATTTGTTGATCCAAACAATGCGGTTTGGAGGTCACGATTCTGTTTTTCTAATCATAAGTTGATAAAATGTTTCTCCTTGTCATATCTCCCTGTTTATCCTCTTCAGTCGCCTCTTTATTTTTTAAAATGGAATTTCACGGTCTATGTACCTCGTCGCCTCAATAAATGTTGAACGTATCCGTGGACCGAGGTGGAGCTCTTAACCAGCAAAGAATACTTTAGTTCTGACAGTAAAGTTCATCATCCAGTTCAGCTCCTGAGTCGCAACAAAACTTGAATTGGATGACACCTATTATTATCAGCCTATTTTACTTGGACCTACATAAATTACCATGCATATATATAACGGCCACTGCAAGACATGATTCCCGGGGCATGATTCAATATACAAGTTCCTATCCTAAAGTAAAATATGGCCTCGGTAGATGTCGGCTTTTTTGCTCTCAGGAGATTCTGAACTGTCACTAAGTCTGATTGCCTTGGAGTATTAAGCCCTTTCAAACGCCGGGCCGTGATGCCGTTACGTCAATACCTCTGTCTGTTAATCCTTATCGCAAAACAAGAAGTTTCTTACGTCAATTGTCCTCAATGCGTGTCGGCCTTCCACGTAAGGCTGCTGCTAAAAGGAGGACTGTCGAAAACTAGAGGGTGGAGGGTTTGCAATATAACATTAAGGATGTTTACCAATAACAGGAGCCTGTCAATACCAAGCTTAGATTATGCTAAATCTATTTCCTCGTGCGAAGTCCCCCGTCTGTTAAGAGGGACGGGAGGCTCTGGGGATGAGTATGCTTTCAAGCTAATCGTATCATATCTGGCTTTTTGGTCGCCTACCTGCTGACAAAACAGGCAAAGAACTTTGACAAGAGTTGTCTTAGGTCGTACCATGGTGTCTCTCTCACTTTGTAAATCAACAACCTTGATACTTCATTACCTGATGACGTATTCAACTTGATCTGATCATTGTGCGTTTTTTGTAAGGTCTACGCTGTCTAAATACACTATGTCGCCTTCTCAACCCTGAAAAAGCACATTGGAAACACATCTTCAGTTTACCTTCTCTGAGTTAACAACATCCGCTTTTGACTTTCAACCTAGAAAAATAGATCGATCTATCCCAAGAACTACCCACTGCCTGGCTCAAACGTACATAAACATGACAACCGAAATCCGGCACAAGATCGGGACATCCTAAATGATCCACTCTTCCGAAATAACCCAGTTCAGCTATTTATCAAAAATCCTTCGATAATCGCAGTCGATCCAGAGTACGCCTACATGGACACGGACTCTAAGTTATGTTTATTGAAAATATTCAGATTAATTTTGACTATACGAAAAGGATACACGACCCTAGCTGGTAATCGCCTTAGTAGATCCTTAGAGGATCTGCGACGCAGTATAATTCGGCAACAGAACGCAGCCGACCCAGCCCAACGTCTGCCCTAACATAGCCTGCGAAAACATCCGTTTTTCCTCGCTCTTCGCCGCAGGAGACGTTTCGCGCGGAGACTTCCCCAGCGGGCGAAGAGCGAGGAAAAACGGATGTTTTCGCAGGCTACCACTGAGAATCGTCTTAGCCACAGATAACCCTCCCCAGCACCAAAACAATTCAGTATACAGACTTAAGCACACCCAGCTTTAATTCCCATTTGCATACTTTTAGTAGGAGAAGCACTGCTAAAGAAGATGCAAAGGAGATGCTTAACCTTAATCAAGATAGTCAAGGCACTCACTCCTCTATTATGATCTACCTTTTGTAAAATTGAAAGGCAAACCCTCAAACAAG